ATAGAGCTGTTTTACGAATGTATGTGTAGAGAACTTTCTGAAAATTTCACTGAATTTTTCTTTAAAGGGGTTGCATATGGTATGTAAGTTCACATGGATATTGCATATCAGTTTGTCCTATAGTAGGAAAAGCTGAAAGTAGAGAAAGATTCATCTTCTATGATTCCTTATACTAATATTATCAAATCTTCATTTATAAAAATAGTGGTATAAGTTTGTAATTTATTGTGAACTCTGAAGGTATTTGCGGTTTGTTGAATGAATGTTTTTCGAAGAGTAAAGTATGTATTACAGTCCGTTAAATCAATCAATACGTTAAAATAAGGAAATGGTACATATTTCTTTTACTTATGTGGTCTTGGAATTTTTAAGGAAGATTATCAAGCACATCTGCTGCGATATTTCCACCAGAATTTAAACAATTGAAAAAACTTTAAGATTACTGATGTTGACATAGTAATAAATCACTGCATTTATTCCTATAATTTCAAAAGAAAGCTTAGTTTTGATTGCTTCTAGATTTTAGAGTTGCCTTGATACAGAAAGCATATGCCCGATTTTCACAAAAACTAGCCGGCTGAAAATCAGGGCTATTAAACATATCAAATCAGGGCCCAAAGATGTCATAACTAACTTCTGAAAAGGAAAGCCATCTTGCATAAAAAAGTCAAAAGAAGAGAAACTGTGATAGTGAAATTAGTTTAAAGATTAGAGAAAACGTTTCAAAGTATATTTTAAAATATACTTTAGAGAAAATATAATTAAATTAAAATTAACTAAGTTTAAAAAAGTATGTGTTTTCATATGATAAAACTTACCTATGTACTGATTTCCTTGAAGGTGGCAAAATAACTCCTATTTGAAATACTGATCTTGTTTATTTTGAAATCCTTTTGTTACTTGTGTGTCTGTTTCTGGTTAAAATCTGTATGGTTTGTTGCAGTACATGGCGTTTGGGAGGAATGGTCACCTTGGAGTTTGTGTTCATTCACATGTGGTCGAGGCCAAAGAACTAGGACAAGGTCATGTATACCTCCCCAGTATGGGGGAAGATCATGTGATGGACCTGAAACACAGCACAAACCTTGCAATATTGCACTCTGCCCTGGTGAGCTCATACAGCAACTCTCTGCTTTGTTACTGTGCATTTAATGTGGGTTGTTTATGATTTTTTTTATAGCCCTTTGCACATAGGAAAAAAAACATTATCTAAAGCGACTAGTTTGAGCAATATTGTTATAATTCTGACTGTAGTGGTTAAAGTATATAGTCAGGATGGTAACTGTTCAAGACAGATGCAAACAATGCTCAGTTTCTTTGAAGTACCCTCTCTGTGGGGCACAGTATGTTGTGCAGGAAGTCTTGATTCAGGATGGGTCTCAGGGAACCAAAAGGCAAACAACTTCCTGATTGTGGCTTAAAGAGACATTCAGAGGTCACTTAGTTTGTGTCCATCATACTTGTATGAATTATGTTTGCTTAGAGATTCACTTTAATTATTTATTCATCATATGACAAGCATATTTGTGAAACCATAATACTTAAATTGCTAATTTATTCGAAATGGATATTATTTACATGTGTACAGACAGAAAAGCTCATACAAGTTAGGGCATTATTTGAATCCCCACTAAGTTTTGTAGTACGGATTTTAGGTGCCTCATTTCTGGTAGTTATGTGCTAAAGCAATTTTTAAAAATTGCCACTAACCAAATAAACAATACATGAGCTTCATGTTAAACTGTCCATCCACTAAAATTAAAGCTTAATAAAAAAATACTCTTTCAAAATTGATTTTTAACTTTTTGTCTTTAGATTGTCATTAATTTAGACTAACTTTTTCAAAAGGTATATACATATAATGCATCCAATTTGCTTCAGTATTGTGAAGAAAAACAAAAGATATTACACATAATCTGTCAAAATAAGCAATTATTTGAGAACTTTGGATTTTGAGCCATCATTTGTACCTAAATGACTTTCAGAGGCACTTCTATACTGTTACATTTAAAAGTAACAGTTTAAGTCTTTGCTCAATATTAAGATTTTCTGCAATTTGCATTTTCAATTTATTAAGGGAATCTTCATGTAGAATTCTCCATTTTTAAGGGTATTTCTGAAATAGAAATATCTCTCTCCTAAAGATAAATAAGAGAGATGTATGAAATATATATGAGAAGCCACTGGATGAGTTTTCTCCGAAGACAGGATAATAATTGATTTGATCTTTCCTACCCTAAATAATACTATATAGGAACGAATAAAACTGAAGAGGGTGCATTGAAATGTAATTTCCATAATTTTTTCCTCTTCACATAAACCTTTTATGATTAATGAGGGAAACTAGTATCCATGTTTGGAAAGATTTCCATTTTCTTCTGAATAAATTATCAGGGCACAGCTTCATAGCTTCAGAGGCATCTGCATTGAGAAGTGGTTCACAACCAGGCATTACATAGAATATTTAATACAGAACTTTAGGGAAAAGCCTTGGAAAATCTCTTCCTTTAATTCACTGGTGCTGAGATCCTAGGCCTGGGATATGGATAGTACCTTTGAAACGTTCTGTTGGTAATGTCTGACATTAGCAAAATAGTTTACTTCCATTATTCACTGAACAGTGATGCACCCATACAGAACAGTATGTTTAATCACTAACTTAAAGATTCTGCTTTCTATTTTAGATATTAACACCATCAGATTAGGGAGCTGCTATTCCAACTCTCCTGTAGAAGAATCCTGAAAACAGGGTTTGGCAAGTGCACCAAGTGAAATTCCTTGTTTGGAATTGTGGTGCTTATATAGCACTAGTAGTTACAGAACCAGGTTTTCAAGGACGAGTATTAATCTAAATTTTATTAGAACCTACATTTTGAGATTATATTTAACTGCAGGGGCAATGAGGAAGTGATGATTGCTGCAATCTCTATGAATGCAGGATCCTGAATTAGCAAAATTAGTCATAACACGTTTCATAATGCTTGCCTGTTTTTAAATGTACTGTCTAGTCCTATTATTATGGACCATATAAATTTTAACTTGTACAAAGTCGTAATTGCTTTATGTTTTTCATTGTCTTGATTTTTAATATTTTCATTTACCTCAATAAGCTTTCTGGTATACAAAATTATTAATAACAGTCATTAACCTTTACTCAAGAGAATATTCATCCCAACTGAAGTGCATAGGCAAATACAAATTACTAAATACAGAGCTATTTCCACCATTTCCATTTTGTTCAGACATTTAACTTGACAAATTCAGAGAGGATTAGGCAATATGCAAACACAACAGCAGATCTGATAAAGAAGGAAGGAAGGCGGGCGGTTTCTGTCATGCTACATTTTATCTCAAAAGAATATTGAAGAACTGGGATCATTTACCTTACAGGGAGGATTAATGATAAAAATATATTCAGCATTGTGAATACAGAGAAGAGAGAATGCATGTGAGCAAAGTGGTAACTCTCGTTTTCCTTTTCCTGTTCAACTAAAGACATCTGGTTTCACCGTCAGGACCAATAACTTCATAATCTGACCTATCTGAACTATCACTACAGATCTTATAAATCACTTCAGAGGGTTTATTTGCATGATACAAGAACGGCCCTGACTTTGGCCTAAAAAGACCAGTCTTTTTTTATGAGCCCTTGTTTTTAGTAAGACCCTTCAAACTGTATGTGCCCAAAATCATTATTTATCCCTTTTGATAGCAGTGTAAAATTAGAGGAGATGGGACGCTCTTTATTTGAAGAAAAAGGAAAACAGTTTTGTATTGGTTTAAAGCAGCTCATAGCGTTGGTTTGTGTATTTGACTGCCATAAGCAGCCAGGCTGGGCCCAGCCCCAGAGGCTGTGGTCACCTGCGTGGCTCCGGTGGTAACTCTGCTGTGTCCATCTCTTTTGCGGCGGCCGCGGCAGTGGACGGACAGTGGCAGGAGTGGAGCCCGTGGAGCCAGTGCTCGGTGACCTGCTCCAATGGCACCCAGCAGCGGAGCAGGCAGTGCACGGCGGCGGCCCACGGCGGCTCCGAGTGCCGAGGGCCCTGGGCCGAGAGCCGGGAGTGCCACAACCCCGAGTGCACGGGTGAGTACACAGCGAGCGGCCCCGGCCGCAGCTCCGAGCGCAGCGGCGCAGACGGGCCTGGCCTCAGCAGGCTGCCGGGGCAGAGCCTGGAACAAGCGTCATTAGCTACGACACAAGAAGCTTCATGTCAACGCGAGTGAGAATTTGTTCATATTGGGGGTGGCACAGCACTGAACAGGCTGCCCAGGGAGGCTGTGGAATCTCCCACTCTGGAGAGATCCAAAACCCACCAGGAGTTGTTCCTGTGTCACCTGCTCCAGGTGAACCTGCCTTGGCAGGGGTGCTGGACTGGATGATCTCCAGAGGTCCCTTCCCACCCTAACAGTTCCGTGATTCTGAGTCCTGGGGCCTCATTCTTATTTACCTGATGATAGAAAAAGCTGAAGGATGTGCCCTGAAAGGCTGCATGAAGGCTGCAAATCAGCTTTTTGGTTTCATTGCTCTTTGAAGGACATACAGTAGTTTTAGGCAGATATTTTTGAAGCCTAAAGAACTTAAGTTTTTCTTGAACGTAGAAAGTGAATATGTATGAACTGATTCCCTTTTGTGCTAAGACTACGTCACGATCCTCTGACAGTACAAAAGCAATCCGTCCAGGGTGTGTAGATTCTGTATGGATTTACCTTTAAGCCTCATTTGCTTTGACAGAGCATGTAAAAATCAAGATCTTAAAATATCACATGCAAAAATGTTTTTACTCTGTTTCTTCGAAGAGTACTTAGGCATATGGTAAATGTCTATTGTTACTGTACAACAGCACTATACAAATTTATTAAAAAGGGTAATTCTACATTAAGACTGTCATCATATCACCACTGTAATTATATTTCTCCAAACAGCAAATGGCCAGTGGAACCAGTGGGGGCATTGGAGTGGCTGTTCCAAATCCTGTGATGGTGGCTGGGAGAGGCGGATAAGGATCTGTCAAGGTGCTGCTGTGACTGGGCAGCAGTGTGAAGGAGCAGGAGAGGAAGTCAGACGCTGCAGTGAGCAGAGGTGTCCTGGTGAGATGAAAATACAATTGCTGATATTATTTACACTACAATATGGCTTACTTCAATGTGCATCTTTAGCAAAGACAAGATCAATGTCTGTCTATTACCCAATAGCCATAAAGAGCCATATCTGGCCTTGCTTTGGACAAGTCACTGCTGGTTTTCTCAGTAGATTTCTGTTTATGCAGCTAGGTCCAAATTAGCCTTATTAGACACATGAGCAATGCATCATGTTTTGAATAAAGTAAAATACCATAGTAAAAAATAGTTGTCCTTAAAAAAAAAAAAAAAGATTTGCCTAGGAATGCCTGTAGTATTTGGAGCATGAACAATTTGCTACAGAAAATCTCTTTGAATGCACTGTATTTGAGAATATCAAGGCTGGCTTTGTAATTTGGAATTCCTTTTATCCAGTGTACAACTGACATCTCTAGTATATTTGGGGTAAATTTCAGTACAGTAAAAATAAGGGATAAAGTGAGCCTTACCACAGTGTAGAGAATGAATGAATGAATGAATGAATGAATATGTGAGCGACATTTTATTAAAAAAAGGAGTAATTTTAAAAGAAAGACACATCTTTCTATTATTAAGCATTAATATAATGCTTAAATATCACTTTTTTAATATAACGCTTTGTATAACTTTTTACTTTGCCGTCCCAACAGATTTAAGTCTTTCCCACTAAGAGCTAATAAAAGTGTGCTTTTGAGCTTCTTCAAAAATTATGAATAAAGAAGAGTATCTGGTGAATCAGATAGTATTTATCATAAACAACCATTGTCCTAAACTAAAAGAATGCATTGTTGGATAGGTGAAAGATAAAAAATACGGTGTTAGTAGGGTAGGATGTTTTAGCCATCCACTTGGGAAATTATGTGATCTGAACTGCTAGCCAGGAAGCAGCAAAAAAATCAATCTAGCAATCTGACTTCTGGACATTTTGCTGGCTGTGTTCTCTGGAGTCAGAGAATGACTTAAATGGCAGGGATGCTTTGGGTCAGGAAATGAGAAATTTATCGCATGTGAATTTTATGTTATCAAGCCCGTATTTTTCATCGGCAGCATGTTTATCCCTTGACAGCCATCAAAGAACAGTTTTCAAGGCATTTTTAGTACAGTAGAACAATTAATCTCATTGCATTCAAAGAACAACAAAAAGACTGTTTGTAGTTAGGAAGTTACAACACTATACTCTAGAAGTTAGCTGAATTTAATTTGCTTTTTAAACGATCTCTTTAATTTTAATAAAAATTTCATTATTTGAAAAGCAGTAAAAATAGTATTTGCATTGGATTCCTAAGCGGACTAATTTCCATAGGTAATGCAAACTTCCTCTATAAAAGCACAACACTAATAGAAGATTAATATGAATCTTCTCAATAAGCAGTCAGATGACCTAGATGCTGCTTATAAAACCATTCTTGAAATAATTTGCTTTTGTATATTTAAAAGTAAAACCACACTGCTGCAGTCCAATTTTCAAAGGTTGCCACCTGCTGTTAATAAAATATTTTACAGATGTATTTACAAGTCAAATGCACACAGAGCTTTATTTGCCATTTGGTGAATTTATTTATTTACTTGATTAATTCCAGATTAGATTTAGTGTGCTTATATAAACTACAACCTAAAGCACCTTTTAATAAGCTATGCTTGTGCAGACTATTAGACATGAATTGCAGATTTATTTACCTGTAGACTGACATTTACTGAAATAGTCTCAGATTTAAATGGAGAGAATGAATAATTCACCAAAATTTTATAAAATTATATACAGATTTACATTCTATAAACAAGAAGCAAAATTGCAAAGTACTATACATAGTTGTTCAGAGTATACACAAATTTCATTATTTGTATGTTTTTCTTCCTAGCCCTAAAATAGCTCAGAAAAGCTATTTTTGTCTCACTGGTTTCTTGTTCTATGTAAGCCACTAAAAAATGTGAGAAACTACAATGTTGGCACTTTTTCTTGTTTTAGCATTGCTTTCCATAAAACAAGATCCTCAGTTGTGTAGAAACACAAAATATTTTTGTTAAGGGTATGAAGCTGCATCTGCTTGTAAGACCCAGACGTCTATAGACTTAAAAAAAGTTAAATTATAGCTGCTTTAAACTGTGTGAGCAAAAGGCTAATAAAGCCCTTTTCTATTATGGTGACTGATGTTACTAAGATGCTTTGCAAACAGACCTGTTTACTTGATAACTGAAAATCTTGCTTGGACATTCTGTAATTTGAGTTCTGCATTATCTGAATATTATACAAAATTTTCTTCGTAGTTTATCAGTGATTCTCTTCAAACGGCTGGGGCATGGAGTGAATTACTTTCAGCAGCATTAAGAGGGGCAGACTCAGAAGTACTCTCTGTGAGCTGGAGGTCCAAAGTGACACAGAGTGCCCAGGCAGGTGCAAAGGAGAGCTGCTTTATTCCAAAAATCTGTCCTTTTTAAGCAATTAGCCAGTTATCAGCTACATAGTTTTAAATCATGACAAACATAATTCAACCAACCATCATACACCACGATGTGAACACATGATGGTTACATAAGTTGTTTTTCTACCTCTAATTCAGCCGAGTCACTTTCCCATAGTCCTTTTCTGCTTAGCCAAAGTAGCAGGCCTGAGCCATGATTTTTCAGGGCCTTCCCTTTGTAAGGTTTTAACTGTATGCAACAAGTATCTAAAATTTTGTTTCTCAAAAAGCTTGGTTTCTGAACAAATTTTGAGTCTCTTTCCTTGTGATTTCTTTTTATTCACAGCTATAAATTTTAAAACTATTGCTTTTTCCTTCCATTGTGTAATAATCTGGGAATGAAAAACTAAGATCTGAAGATATTTTGGGTTCAGTTATTGCTGCTTTGCTGCATCTCAAATGTCTAAAGTTAAATTTTACTCCTGGTAGGTCAACAGTACTCTGAACTCAAAATATTATTCTGTGAAGGATAACTTCAGAAAATTGGTAACAAATCAGAGAGAGGAAAAAAAGTTTCTATATTTGGTAACTGGCTAGTCACTCAGGAGTCACAGCAGAAAACTTACACAAGATGAATGAACACTGTGTCTGTCCCATAAGAATAATGGAGACAGCTAGGTAACAAAAGAAATTGCATCTGATAAGAAGTTACATGGCAAGATGATCAGAAACTTGCAGAAGAATGTGTAAGAGAAGAAGGCAATTTCCACCAAGTGTGTCAGTGAAAGTGAAGAGATGGCAGAACCAAAACCAAAGTGCAGCAGTATACAGGATTGACTACTGTAAATTTATTTTTATAAAAATAGGACTATGTTCTTATGACAGCTTTAAGAATATATCATGTTTCAATACAGTTCTGGTTTCCAGAACTACCTAATTCCCTAATAGTTAAATCTGTATTAACTGTGTATATATGTTTCCAATATTAATGCTTTACCTGGATTTTACTCAAAAAAGATTCTCAGCATTTTTCTTATATTTTCAGTAGCATAAAGCCTAATATGGGAGCACTTTAGACCAAAGTATAACTGAAAACAATGCTAGACTATCTTGTTAGTTAACAGGAAGCCAAGAGTGCACAACAGCTTGTGCACAACAACCAAAGACTAGCTAATCATTTCCCACCAATGGTAAAAGTTGCTTTTTTTTTTCACAACAGTATTAGATAAGATAGAATAGGAGAAGGGAGAAGATTCAAGTAATTCAAATTATATTCATCTAAATAATAAAATTAAACCTTTGGGGTTTTTTTTTGTCTCTGATTACAACAGAAAGACATCCAAAAGCTTTTTTCCTATTGCCTTTGTTTATGATAATTTTGCCAGGGGCATTGAATTAGGATTCAAGAGAGGAGCTGTAGTTCTACCATCATTTGAGCTACTGTGTGCTGTAGGCTAACTTGCCTCACCCTTTCGTTACCCTTTCCCGTATTTGTTATCTGCCCATGTAGATGGTAAACTCTGTGAAGCTGCATGTGTCTCTTGCTTTGTGTGTTGTACTGGGCTTCCACAGATTCCAGTTGGGTTGATTGCCTCAGGGAGATGCACATCTTCTCTCCAGTAATGCCAGAAGAAGACTGTGCTTCTAGACCATTGTCTTTGTTGAGTATTTGTGTTTAGAGGGGATGAATTCAGGCCTGTCATTACAGGGGTGTAACGTGGTACATTTGAATGCGTGCTCTATGTGGAAAGATGCTGATGATTCATATCATGACTGAAATAGGCCTGCCTTTTGTTTGCCAATGATGGCAAATTTTACCTAAATATTTGCTATTTACTTCTAAATTCTAGTAGTTCTCCATGATTTTGTACAGCAAACTCATATTTATCTGTGAGTGTGTTATGAATTAATTGTGCCATGGTTACAGAAATTCATGGTCCTGAGCCAGCAGGTTCAACAAGGCTTTTTAACTCAGATATGGTACCACTCCAGTGTGACTATAATGCCTTCATGAGCAACACGGGTTGCAGCCTCACAGATGCTTTAATGTGGGTGGATGCCTGATGAGTAAGCTCTGCCAGATAGGTTTTAGCTTTGGGAAGAAGGAGTTTGTTTTTATCCACAGCATTCCTTGATTCTTGTTCGAGGCATTAAAAGGCCAAGAGTCAGCCAGAGACCAGGAAAAGGTCTTTGCCTGGGCTAAGCAAAACTTTTTCCCAGTTCCAGCGGCTCCCACACCTCTTTCCTGATAACCCTATGTCTTGGGAGTGCCTTCTACTTTGAACACAACACACAAGTGCACTGTTTATCTCTGGCACTAGGTTAAAGTTTCAATAGAATTCTGAGTTCTGAAAACTTTATTCAAAAGCACACTAGTACCCTTCCAAATAGATAGGAAATCTGTGATATTACCTATGTCTTGCTTATGTAGAAGAGAAAACAGGGTGTATTTAAGTGTCCATATGGATGCATGTATATTTTTTCCACCAAAAAACCTCACATTTAGCATTCAGTATGTGGGGGGAAGAAACGTTTTAGTTCTGAGAATCAGCACCTAAAGTGGTGATTAGTGAACACAACACATTTGAAATGGCCACAGCTGCATAGCAAATATAGTTCTCAGAGAGCTCTAGGCTCTAGCAAATTTATGTAATTTATAATATTACCTCCTTATTATGTTAATTTACGCTCCTCAAAACAGAACATTTCGTTTGTTTATAAGGTCATAATAGAATGGTAATTGCTTTTGCTTATGTCACCAGATGGCTTATGTTTATCAAAATCTGGTTTTTCCCAGTGTAACACTGTCCTGATGCGTTCACTCTGTGGGCATATATGAAGCAGGGCTAGCGTTCTAGATTATGAATATAACTGACTTTCTTTGGGTTTTGCCATTAATGGAGCTCTTGCTTTTTTAGCGGCACCAACTGTCTTGATTTATGATTCAGGAATGCTGATGGTGAGGCAAATTTAGCAAGCAATTTTTCTGCCCAACTGTGATTCATATTAGTATTACTGAGCCATCTGCTAGGTATTCTTTGTCCTCTACAAAGAGAGGCTACAGCTTTGTGCAAAAGTCTACTCAGTTCCCTTGCTCACACTTCCGTCAGCACAAGTACAAAACAGGGATGATGGACGATTTTATGGGTTAGATAATGGGATGGGCAAAATCTGTAGTCTGTTCCTGCCTCTGCTAGAGATTTCCCGTGCAACCATGAGTGAATCATTGAATTGCTTTGTGCCTTATCACACCATCTGCTAGAATGAATTTCCTTTCTCTTTTCTTTTTCTTGTTTTGTAATCACTTTGCTGTAATACAGCAAGGTTATGTTTTTGTTTTTCTGGAAATACATAAAATAATAAACAATTCCTGATTTTCTCTGCTGAACTCGGAGTGAATTAGATTTCAGTAACTAATATGTCAATGATATGAGTTATGAGATGACTTCAGCCAGGTGTTTTCTGTGATAATTTAATTTACTAAAAAATCATAAACTGCAATCTACACTAACATACACAGAGCAAAAGGATTCTGTAGTTGTGACCATAAATAAAATAAGCCTGAAGCATTTTCTGAAGTTTATTTTTCCCCATGCAGTTGTGTTACTACAAAATTGTGACAATATTTTTCCCTTTAAATGGTATTGCAATAACCAGTAAAAGGTTATTTTGCTTTATAGACACTCAGCCCCGCATTATTGACTATACTTTCTTAATTACCAACTTGTACTGAAACACATTTTAAAGAAGTAACCTGGTTTTATAATAAACTTCAGAATATACAGCTCTCATTAAGCACTGTAAGCACATTTAATGTTTCAACTGTCTTTTCAGAACAGATTCTTTCACATAAAGATTCAATTTTAGAAAAATCTTTACAAATTTTAGTTGAAGATTAGAATTGTAACTTATCATAGTTTAAGTGTCATCATCTTCTGATAGTTTCTTAGTGCTATTGATCAAAATAGAGCAGCAAGGAAAGATTCCAACTATTAACATTGTAACTGCAACTTAAAAAGTGCTTGCTTGCTGGGGAGAATAAAGCCACAGGTTATATGAAATAAATACCATCACAAAGACAGATACACAGAATTTAAGTTTTCTCATTTTTGTGCTTCAAACTTAAAGTTAACCCGTTATGTTAACATACACATCTCAGGAAAAAGTAGGATGGAATTGAACACTTATTTTTCTAATATAAAATATCTAATGTTTCTATTTAAATTCTCATTTATAAATGACAGCGCCTTATGAAATATGTCCTGAAGACTATTTGATGTCAATGGTGTGGAAAAGGACCCCAGCTGGGGACATGGCATTCAATCGATGTCCTCTCAATGCCACAGGTACAGTACGACTTTTAAATCTTATGATGATGAGAAAGAGGAGAAATATTTTGCTTTGTGTCCTAGATAAATTATTACTAGCCTCATATAAATATGCATATATGTGAACATATATATACAAACCTCACATATTTACTTATGCATATGCATGCAAATATACACGTGTCTCTTACAGCTTTCATTTATGCATGGGTCTGTGATGTATGTACATATATACATATACATACACATACATATGAGCATTGTAGCCACAGAGAAAGAGCTGACAAGAAACCAGTTTGACTGGATCCATCAGGCAAAGTGATGAAAATGAGGAAAAACATAAAATCTTTTTAATTAAGAAAACACTGCTAAAAAGCAATCAAGTAAATATTGAAATGTGTTTCAGGATCTTATACTACTCTCTGTATACCAATGATCATTGCATGGAATTGTTTCTGTATGTTCCTTTCAAATAGGATGGAATGTAGATTAAACAAGGTTTATTCTCTCAAGTTGCTCTCACTTATTTTCTGTCTTCTTTGTGTCTTATAGGCACCACTAGCAGACGCTGCTCTCTCAGTGTTCATGGAGTGGCCTTTTGGGAACAACCAAGCTTTGCTAGATGCATATCAAACGAGTACAGACACTTGCAGCATTCAGTAGGTGCAAAGTCAGCTTTAGTACTTGCTCTGTTTATTCATTACTGATCATTGGCATAAAAAGAAACTTACTTATTTACTCTTAGGTTCCTGTTAAGCAATACCAAGAGGAAAACAGATCTGAGAAAGAGTAATTTATGTTAATGGATATTATTTTGATCTTGTATAATGCTGGTGTTTGTGAAATACCCCTTGTCTTACTGTGGAAGTGGAAAAATGAATCAGATTCCCTTTTTTTTTGTCGACTGTGTGAAATTTTATATAGGGCTCAGAGGCAAGTCATATTTTAGTTTATTAGAAAATGTGAATAAATGAGATTTACTGGAAAAACAACTTGCTGAGAATTTTGTAATACTGTGAATTCTTTAATTGCAGAGTAGGAAGCCAGGAATATTTCTTTTTTCTATCAAATTTAGAACTTCACCTTTGAATGTAACAATAGGAAATGATTATAGGGTAAACCTATTGCAGTGTCTTAGAAAAGGTAAAGTAACTCTACATGAATAAATACTATGTGGGTTGTTTTCAAAAAGCCTAAAAAAAAGTTTCTTTGCAAAGCATGGGCATTATACAATTATGTACAGCCTAAACATGTTTGTATAGATAGGTGTAAAGCATTATGTGTATTGCTTTATAAATATGGTACCGTGGTATATGTTAGGTATATTAGTTACCTTCTATCTCCCTTGCTGAAGCATTCATCCAGGTTAATACTGTAGTGGGAAATGAGCCTTTGAAGATTCTCATGGACAATGGGTTTTCCCTGCATGATATATTCTACTGACATTCTTTTTACTCTGCATCCTTTTCCAAAGGCCACTGCTCCCTTTATCATTCAGCAGAGGCACACTAATACAGCTCTGTGCTTCATAACTTCCCAACTTCTCAACCAAGTGCAACACTTCTGTAACATGTTTAAAATTCTTTGGTGGCTTGAAAAGCAGTAGCCTGGCAGTCATTCCTCAAATCTGGATTGCTACTTAGAGGAGATTTTGATTAATTCTTTTGAGCTGCATTTCTGTTTTGCTAGACCCCATTTATTTGAGGCCTGAGATTCAGTTTCAGGGTAGGCCGAAGCAAGAATTTTTTTTAAAATAGGACAGAATAGATTGTCAAAGGAAATTTCCCCACTACACAAAAGCTTCTATTTTGCACAGCTGCCTTCATGTTCATCTCTCCCGTTACTGTTCATGCTCAAAAAACACATGAAATTGGCTGTAATATTTTTGCATTTAATAATTTTGGTATTTTATTCTGTTGCAACAATTTTATTTGTTATGTCTATGCTAGTTTGCAACTCAATTATGCAAAATGCTGTTTCATGCTATTCAGTGGTTTGACTTACCTGGCTTTGGTAGGCACTGGTAATTATTCAAGAGCCGCAAGTCTGACTTTTTGAACAATAAAATACATTTCTAACCTAGAGCAGATTTATCTTTTTTTTTTTTTCTAGATTTCCTTTTTGGAAGTATTAATTATGAGTAAATTACACTGTGAAATAGTCTTTCTGCCAAAGAACATTTAAAAATAGGTAATGCTTCTTTAAAATTACACAAGCACCTAAACGTGTCTTTTTGCTGCACAAAATTTAAGTCTAGCTCATGGGCATGCAAAAGGAAGAAAAGTGGACTTCTTTTACACTTGGAAGCTGTTCACAAAGAAAATTAGTCTGTCTTACATCTTTCTGCTTCTCAAAGTGAACAACGCAGCATATTTAAAGAATCAGAGAAAATAGATAAAAAGACCTATAAGGTCATCGCCCAGCAAATGTAGGCTTGTCCCCCCCACGATACATATGTCAGTTCCATAAATCCCTGAAAATAGGGCTTTATAAGGAAGCTGCTGACAGACGGTGTTGCTATAATAAATATGTGTGCTTATGAAAGCATTTATGAGTTGTCTCAGTGTACTTAACTTACCAATAAAGTTATTTTACCAACTCAGACAAGGAATAGAGGGGGTTATCACACAGTTTTCTGAATAGTCCCATAAAATCTGAGCTGAATCTCTTTCATTTATTATCTGAAATAGATAAAAGAAAAATAAATGGACAGTCTTCAAAAAAATTATGTTCCTGAAGTTGATATAAAGCAGCTGTTATACTTAAATACAATATTTAATACATTAAAACATATAATACAGACAAATTCCTGTCTCTTTGCCCTCCAAACAAGCTTTATATGATCTAGAACCAGAAATCATGTGGTAGAATTCACATGATGCTGTACCTAAGAAAATGTTATCTAAACAAAAGTGTTCAATATGATGGGAGCCTGAGAAGATTTCCTTGTCCATAGACCCTGGTAACCTGGCTACACAGATGCTGAACTGGAAGCTTATAGTTATTCTAGTAAATAAGTTTAAAAGCCATCCTTGTAGTCATCTGCACTGTTTAACCATGTATGTGTTAGCATGCTCCCTGACTATATCAGAGCATACCAGTGAGCAGTCTCCCTAACAAGGTCTACTATTCTTTAGAGGATAGCATGGCAGAGAGGCCATTGTTAGCAGGCAGTAAAAGCATGATTTTATGGGACAGAGGAGAGATAGAGAGTTTAATGTGAGGAAACCATAATTCTTTGCTATATATAGTGTAGAATTTTACCACATAACCAGAGATGATTGACCCCTGAAGACTGTTTCCTTACTGTATGTAACTGTTGTGGATTCACAGCCTCATACACAAAGCTAAAACTGTATTTTTACAGTTTTCTCTATTACTCACCTGGAATTGACATGGGACAAATTTCAACACTTAATAAGCAGTATTAAAAAAGCTGAAACCCAGCTTTTGCTGTGTGTTCTTCAGCTTGACTCAAGACTTGTACTGAGACCATCATGGTAGCTCTGTAAATCATGCTACAATGGCACCATATTTTAATCTTAAAATCCATTTGAAAGTCTATTTGTAAAGATGGAGAGTCTTTAAAGCTAAAAATACACCCATAATGCTAAAGATAATATACTTTGCTCATAATCCCCTGCACCATGAGTAAGATGGCTTTTTCCAATCACTTACAGAATATGCCAAGGCAGACTTACTGCCTCTGCTGCATTCTCTGGCGCTTCAGACATAGGTTATGGCATCTCAGAGGAAAACTGGGTTGAATTACATTGTCTGGACTTGTGGACCACTTTTTGATACATATATCAATATTATGCTTAATGTTCTATTGTAACTGTTTCAGAATTATTCCCAGTCTTAAATTAACATATCTCCTCAATATATTTTTGAGATGAGTCTGTACTACAGCTCCACTTTTTACTGAGACCACTTCAGCAGAAATTGATCTCAAGTCTTCTGAATTAGTGCCTAGCCACTCTTCCTTCTTACTATTCCTATATCTCCATGAGACAACTAAGAAATTCCTGGCATGGCAAAAATATAGCAACTACAGGGCCTCTAAAGAGTCTATGCACTTGAACATGATGAAATGGTTAGAGGGAGATGGTTTAATTTGATGAAATCAACACTCAGTTTATGTCTTTGAAGGGCACCGTGTCCTACATGATAGGAGTTAGAGGAAAAGCAGTTAAGAGAATTATGCATGTCAGTTGTGCTACAAGTGTACAGTCTGTACTTCTCTTCGTTTATTTTACCTTGTGCACTATGGAGTACAGGTTCCTTTTAAAGCTAGGGATGATAATTGTATCTCTTTGAATACCAGAACCAATTAGTCATGAACAATTTATCCTACATGTGGTACAAATCAATCATCAAATGATTTCAACAAATACTGTTTGACCAGCTTATACAGCTGGTTCGCTAATAGGTAAATTTATTCACTGAACATATTAAGGGACAAAAATGCCCATATCCATGAAATAAACCTTTAGGAAATTATTTGCTTAGCTCTAATAATAATATTTAAAGAACCTAATTAGAATTATTCTTCCTAAAGCACTATAAGTGGAAAATTCAGAGTGATAAATAGGTATACTTTGCCTCCTGGAATCATAACCTAGAGGATCAAGCAGTAACTTGGTGAACAGAAAAAGAAACATTGCAGATCATATACCAGATTTTGTTCTAGTTTTCTTACATTTTCCTAATGTGTTTGCAGTGTCTGCAGCTTTGCATAAAGAAAATGTTCTTAGTCAAGCATGGTGTCTTGAGGCTGTTACCAGTCATTGTAGCTAAGAATATTTTGCCCAATTACGTGCAATTTGTTACATGTATTCTGTGAACGATGAGATTACAACAAGAAATTCCTCCAAGTATCTTTTTTATTGTGGATGGAGGTGAAGTAAAGTCGTAAGGTTTAATGAACTCTAGTGGCAGAGGATATCCTTTCTTCAGTTCCTTCTGGAAAGTTCTTAGTCACATTCTGATCACTAGAGTTTTGTTAATGGTGAGGAATTTCCTTCCTTTCTTTAATTCCATATTAAATTCTCAGAATTTGGAGAACTTTTCCCTTCTGTAGGACAGACATAATTTGAGTTTTCAAACCATTTTACTGAATCAATTACTGCTATAGCAGAAGTTATGGACCTTGCTGAAGCCCGTTCTCTCTTTCTATCCTTGGCATATAGTTTAATTTTCTGAAAACTGAACTATTTCGGTCTAACTAACATATTTTAATCTCTTTAAAGTGTATCTGTTGCTAGCTTAATGGACTGTTTTATGTAGAAAGGCAGATTAGATGATGATCTAATGACCCAAACTTAGTCTGTATAATATTATGAAGTATGTTCCTCATTGCTCATTATCTTCTTTTGATCTGGAAGCAGAAAATGATGTACCTAATTATTTTACATAGAATTGTCTACTTTACCCAGTACTTGGCTAGTCTGGACTAGTGTCTTCTGAGGTGTGGTTTGAGGTTTTTTTTACTTTATTTGGATAAACAGGGTAAAATCTTTCCTGAGACTTAGAAATTTATTTGTACTGTGATTATGAGTGAGTGCTGGACCAAGAATAGAATCAGTGATTAGGACTCTACAGGCCTACTTCAGATGGTATCCAAGAAAAAAAAAAATGAA